ACATTAAAAACATTCTGGAAGAAATTCCACATCACATTTCTGACATTGATACACTAATAAAACTTAAAGAAATACTAGCTGTCCAACTTAACAAAGAGAAAAAACAAGGAGTAGATTATCGCAAGACACTAATCTACTTAACTATAGACCTTTACCAGACAACAACCCATGATGTGAGAGCTTTGCTGGCCACCCTGTGCGAAATGGTGGAAATTTTTTATGCCCATGACAGAAAGAGGTCACCAAAGTTGATATTAAGGTTGCATAACCTGTGTTGGAGGCATGCAATTTTGTGCCGAATAGTGATGACCCCAACTAGAGCCCTAACAAGCAGAAAGCTCTTTGGCATATACTTCCATGCATGTGTATCTCATTCCGCCTTTCTTCTCCGTCCTGCTTCACACCGTTCAACTAATGCAGAAATGTTTGAGAGTTTGTTTGAGGAGCTGACCGACATCACCAGGAAGACCTTAGTGAGCAATGCAGTTCTGCATATGCAAGCAGAGAAGACTTCAGGAGGAAACACAGCTGTGACCTGCATTATCAGGCAAGAAAAGGAAATCATTAACATCAGCAAAGCCCTACCAAAGCTGGGAAACACAGTTTTACCCAAAGATGTCATCAACACACATGCTAGGCACTGGGAGGCTTACCTTCAGTCGATTGCTGACTTCCTCGTACCAGGAAGCAAAAACATGGAGGAAAAATAAAGTTGCCACTGAGCTACTGAAAATATGGAAGATCACCATTCACCTTCTTAAATAAACACTTCAAATTATTCAATGTTTTAACTATAATACATGCTGATATTTTGTAATTTGCATAATACTTTTCCAAGCCCTGAAAATAATCAATATTTACAGTCCTCAACGTTAAGTCCAAAGAAAAGCTATCTTCAGTGGGTTCCACATGTACTGTAAGCATGAAAAAGCACCAAAAAGATTATTTAATACATACCATTTTGAGGAACTTTATTATAACAATCCAACTGATAAATATGAGTATCCTACATGTATGTAGATCTGGAACATAACTGAAGGCAATGTAGCATGGTAGAAATCTAAAAAAGAACAGCAACAACATGATTAATCGTGTTACAATGTTTAATTTTGTGCAGCAATTTTTAAGTCATCAATTTATTTATGCTTCTAAAGGATTAATTGAACAAAATGAGTTCAAAATGTAACATTTGCCAAGTGCATGATGATTAATGTCGAGCAAATTAAATTTATTCAAGTGATTTTGAAACTAATGACTGTATTGTTAGTTCCCATGGTTAACTTTCATATTAGGACTTCTGATAAAAGCCACGGTTCACCAGAATTCTTTTTTCAGAACTAAATCATAAATTCCTTTAAGAAACATGATTTTACCTTGAGCTAACAAGTTCCTTTCTTCTTACAAATGTCTCTTTCTCTCCACGTTTGTAAGTTGGACCTTACGCTGATCAAAAGAAAGATTCTCTAACAACACAAAACAATTTCAATTTCACACGCTTCGTCCGAAACATATTGAATTAAAAAATCGTGGAACTAAATTAACACCTGCTAGGCGGTGAAAGTAATACGTAGCTTTCCTGTCAGTCAACAAACGCATAGAGCCTAGAATGATCTAGTCTGATCGAACTCACACTGAATTCAATCGAAGGACGCGCAACAAGCAACACCTTTAAACAACGTTAAAAAGGAAGCAGTGATAAAAAATTTCTTACCTACATATTCTTCCCAAGTGATTCCTGACCTATAACACAAACAAGCCTCAGAATATATGAGAGCGACAGAGTTTCCGAAGCTTCAATGTGCCACAATGTCCGCCATCTTTGCCGCCATTTTGAAATGTTTTTCTCTTGGCGCGATTGACTTCGCGGGGGGGATTTTATTATCCTGAGCCATGCCTTAACGAGCCCGAGCCAGTTCCCTGACCTTATATACCTCTATGTTTTAGAAAGCATTTTGCATTAGGGTTGAGTATTTAACACAATCTCAATACTTGATTCGTTTATTTCCAATACTTAGGGATTAAAATCTTGGCATTTTTCCAGGTATTATTCATCCAATTTCATTTCTCATTTGATAGTAATAAAAAGACAGCCCTTTATTCGTTTCAGTGAAAATGTGCTAATGTTATTGGTTCTGAACAGCCTACGTTCTCGACCAGAAACTAATGGTCTGATTCTTCTAGGAATTATGCTCCACCTGGCACAATTGCGGTGAGTATTTCGAAAAAGGTGCAATTATATTTCAATCGTTTTTCACGACGTTGCCGTCTGGCTCATTTAGGGTCCCCGAGGCATCAGTGATTACGTCACTCTCGTATTCGAGTTACATAAATTTTTCATTTTTGAACTTCGAAATCAACTTCCTTTCAGCATCGACTGGTTTTTATCATTTCAAAAACCCTGTAACTGTTTATTTTAATCATTGTCGGAACCGTTGGGCAACGGTCATCCTTTTGGAATATATTTACATTCAAATCCTAAATTGTATCTGATATTCGTATTAATTTGTTCAAACAATCATGGTGGTTACAGAATATTTTTCATGTTACCTTTATTACTTCTATTACTTACATAAATGCAATGATGTGAATATTGTCATTAAATTTCAAAAGTTGAAAGACAATGTAGAATTCCTTTGTTACTGTCCTAGTGTCATCATTATCATCCTCATTTAGCTATACTTTCCCCCATTTTGCCGAAAAAAAAAACTACCCTCCATGGACATATAAATTTGTAATTTTTATTTCTGTGAACTATTTGATTTGGGTATCCTCTTTATCGCTACTTACTGCGACTTCAGCACAACAATATTATGCGAACAGCGTTGAGGAATGCAGAAAGTTTTAAAACGCAAGTGCTGAGCTTTTTATTAAGCTCCTTATTTTTTTAACCCCTCAGAGTAACTGAATTTTTATTTAACCTTAAAATATCACTCCTGAATCAGACATTAAGGTCACGAGGATAAAGAAAGTGATCACAAATTTAAGAGCTCTTGATTGCCGAAAAAATTTTCTCTGTCAGTACCTTTAGAAATTTAAAAAGGAAAGTGCGGGGAATATGTATACGTATGTTAGAATGAAAGGATTAATTATTTCATTTCGCCACTTTCTTGTTTCCATTGCTGTCGTGGTTTCTTTAAAGTCCCTATA